GTACACCACAGTCTCTTCTACAGGAATCAAGCTGTGCTCAAACACAAAGGCAGTTCCAACGATTTGAATCATCCCCTGTAATCCCAGATGAATCTGAGCAACAAATTATAGTCTTGTAATGCACATAAGAAGGCAATTCTGCTTTTAAATTACCTGCTCTGGAAGGGATTGTGATCAGACCCATACAGTCTAAAGAGTTATGGGAATGATTCACAGCCACTGAACTGTGCTCCTACAAAAGCACTACTTGTCTTAATTCCTCTTTCAAATTAATAGTAGAGCATGAAATATAAGTCTCCATGTCTGCAAGAATAATATAGGATATATCAATATTATTATTTGATTGGCTAGCTCAGTTTTCCAAGTCAGTTTCTACTTTTAACTTGGTATGTATTTGAATATCATGCATGAATTAAAATTAATTTTGAGGTCAATGCCATTCTTTGAGAAAAACTGAACAGCCAGAAGTTAATCTTTTTTAAGAACAAACCTGCTTTTAAACTCACTGTTTTGTTTACTCCTTAAAAAGTTTATCCACCCTTGACCACAGCAGTTTACTAAGAGTGGTCACCCAGGAGAGAGAGAAGATTTTAAGCATTAGAGTACTGTCAAAATCTGAAAGGATACTTCCCCTGAGCCCCTCTAAACCTTGTGAACCAAAATCAAATTTGTGAAAGTACAAAAAACAGAAGTACACACAAGCTGCAGTCTTTCAGAGATCCATAAAGTAATATACATCCCATTAATAGAAGAAAGGCCCCTTAACCGTAGAGTGATATAGATTGGAGGGTACCTCTCCATCTAGTTCTAACCCCCCTGCCATAGTCAGGATTGCCAACCTCTAGATCAGGCTGTCCAGGATTCCGTCCAACCTGGCCTTGAACACCTCCAGGAATGTGAGCATCCAGAACCTCTCAGAGCAACCTGTTCTAGCGCTTCACTACCTTCTGAGTAAAAAATTTATTCCTAACATCTAACCTAAATCTCCCCTCTTTCAGTTTAAAGTCATTCCCCCTTGACCTATCACTATCAGATCATGTTAAAAAGTTGTCCTTCTCCTGCCTGTAAACTCCCTACAGCTACTGGAAGGCTGAAATGGTATCTCCCCAAAGCTTTCTCTTCTTCGAGTTAAATAAGTCCAAATCCCTCAACCTCTCTTCATAGGAGAGGTACTCCAGTCACTTGATTATCTCTGTGGCCTTCTCTGGACCTGCTCCAATAGCTCCGCATTCTTACTGTGCCTGGGGTGCCAGACCTAAATGCAGTATTCCTGCTAAGACTTCAGAAGGGCAAAGCAGAGTGGGACAATCACCTCCCTCACCTTGCTGGCCACCCCTCTTTCGATGCATCCTAAGATACTGTTGGCCTCCCAGGCTGCAAGAGCACACTGCTGGCTCATGTCCAGCTTTTTGACCATCAAGACCCATAAGACCTTCTCTGCAGGGATGCTCTCCGTGTCTTCTTCTCCCAGTCTGTACTCACATCTGGAATTGCCTAGACCCAAGTGCAACACCTTACATTTGGTCTTGTTAAACTTTATTATTTATTACTAACTTTTGAGCCTGTCCAGGTCTATCTAGATGACGTCCTTTCCTCCTGTTGTGTCAGCCACACCCCTCTGCTTGGTGTCATTATCAAACTTGCTGAAGGTGCACTTGATTCCACTGTCTATGCTTCTGATAAAGATGTTGAAGAGCACAGGTCATGCAGTGTGTCTGGGGGACACCATTCATGACTATCCTCCACCTGGACATAGAGCTATTGACCACAATCCTGTGGCTATGACCATCCAATCAATACACATCAAAATGTTTCACCACAGAGGTTGGGTTAATTTTCTTGAACATTCATTTATTTTTAGAAGCTAACTTTGTTTCATCATATATTTATGTTCACTTGCCAAGAATACTGGAACAAGTGAATTTTAGCGCCCAAACAGCTTCAGAGGGGACCAAGAAGTTTAGACTTGCCTGCACCAGGAGGTCAAATTTCAAAAATTTACCTAGATAATAGACACAGACACCTGGGGTTACAGTATAAAAGCCACAAAGTGATGGCTTACCTCAGCAATTCATATCAACAAAGCCAGCTCTAAGCTGTTCACCATATGTTAACACAAGGTATTCTTTCAACAAATCTGAGCAAAGATACGAGATTATCTCAATCTATACAGGCTTCTAGTTTTCATGTCTTTGCCAAAAACTGCCTACTGATTTGCAGCAACTGCTGACAAAGTTCTGTGCGGTGGTACGCTCAAGGTCGTAGAGTAAACATGTCCTAAATTTGCTGAGCAAGAGACTCAAACATAACTAAGACCACTGCAGTCATCATGAAATAAATACTTGGATGTTGTCTTTGAGACCATAAGAAAGTAATAGTTAGTGTCTATATCACATGAGTATGCTTCTGTCTTCAAGATATTATACATGCTCAAGTAGCAGAAGCTTACAAGTTATGAGCTGTGAACACCATAAGAAAATAAAGAGGAAATAGGATGTATCTTTCAAATTGATGGTCCTGAAGCTCATTCTTCACATTGCACATATTTGTTTACGTGCTGAAAATTGAACAGCTTACAACTGTTTTGTTTTTTCTTAAAGATGTGTAGAGGACATGCCAGAGATAATACAGTAGTACATGCTGAACTTGCAAATAATACATTGTATTAGAGAACAAGGAACATAAGACAGCATATATCAAAAACTTCCATCTTAGAGAAGTTACAGGAGAAACACAAGTAACTGCTGTTTTCTGAAGCAGAAAAATATGACATTGTTCTGAGCTTAAAACCAAATCCTTCACCAGGAAGGATTACAATGAAGATCATCAACTCCAACCTGGACAGAAGTCTGTTTCAGTACTGATTGATAAGGAGAAAGAAATGGCCTGAAATCTCAGCCTGTTCTACTTAGGTCAGTCTTGCAACTATTACAACAGCCTGAGGCAACCAATTACTCATCCCAAGAGCAATGCTTCTTCTACAGACAATCAATCTGAAGGTAGCAGCACTAAGAAGCAGGCATCAGCTCCACCATTCTGCCTTCTTACATTTTTTTTTTGCACGGGCACTTATGCAATCTTTTTCTAGATTAACTCACTGAACTGACAGAGAAATATCCTTGCTAAAAAAGAAGGAAAAAAAAATAGAGAGAGAGAGAGAGAGAGAAGTTTCATTTCTTCAAGCTTGTAAGTGAAATCAACTCAACTAATTGTTCGGCTAGCACAGAGCTGTTGCACAGGGAGGAGCAGCTGGTCCCAGCCTGAAGAAGCAGAGCTAGGAGCCTTCCTCTTTCAGTAACATTGAGCTACACAAGCAGTGCAGCCATCACAAGCAACCAGTGGAACTGTAAGTACAGGCTCTGAATTTCCAACATCATTACATTACTCAGACAAAATAATCTCAGATGCTGATTTCCTCATGATTTCAGTATGACCCAAGTGAAAGCCACCAACAAAGAGGGCTGGGTCTAAACTCCTTCATCTTACCACAGCCTTGAATCCTAGATCTCAGGCAGTCACACAAAAAGATGGATCAAAGAACTGATCTGCCTGAAAACACATTCACACATTTTCATTTATCTTTTCAGGTCAGTTCTCAGAACTGCATCGGGCTGTGCAGAGGTGAGCACTGGCACAAGAAAGTAAAGAAAACTTCTGGCTGAGAGGAGGTGAGATCAGCTCCCTCTGCAGCAGCTCAAAGCTCAAACTTGCTAAAAGCAATTATGGATACATTCCATGTCTCGATCAACAACAGTAAGGAGGCAGGCAGTTCTTCTTTATGGCACCAAACTACAGCACAAGTAATTGAGCATTTGTAGAAGCATAAAGGTAAAAATGCACTTTGCTCAGGCACAAAGCTAGAACTCCAGCCTAGCCCTCAGCTTCCAAAAGTAGATCAATTTTGTTATTCACAGAAACTAAAAAGGAAGTGTTTCTCTGAACATACACCTGAAAAATCAAGATGACAGCACTGTGAAATATTCTATTAAGCTGACAGCATTTCTCATGTATGTTTTAGCTTGTTATACAGTTCTGTGCTTGATATTTGTAAACAAAAACAAAACTGATATAAATAAAGGATTTCCCTTTTTTCTTTTTTTTTCCCCCCCCTCCACAGCATAACTGGAATCATGCTGAACTTGGAAACAACAGCTCCAGAAAGTCAGTGCTTCCACAAACATGGAACTGCACTTCATGAAGCTGATAGGACATAAAGTTCTGCTTCTAAACAAGTTCTGAGATAAAATACGTAAGCAGCCTCTCAAGCTAGCACACAGCACACCACGGGAATGTCAATATTAAAAGAAGGAGACTAACCACCCTTCCATATTACTGCACCACAAACACTGGTATTGAAGCAAGAGAAAACATACTAAGGAAATAAAAGTGAATTGAAAAGGATACCTGAAAGTTTAAAATTTCAACAGACAACAAAACTTAATAAACTTAACAATTAAAAAAGCATTAGGGAGTGTATAATCAATGGATATCAAGACGTTACAACCACAAAACAAACAAGAGAGTTAGGAGAAGTGGACTATGATAACAAAAGACAATAAATGGAAGGCTTACCCTTATGCTGGGTTCACCCACAGAACACCAGAAGGAGGGATCTCCAAACGAGATCCTTCCCCACTGGCAGTCAGCTCTTCAATAGGTCTAGGAGGGGTGCAGCCAGGCTCCACCCCTTCCGGCAGCACAGCTGAATTGCCTTCACCTGTGCTCCTCTGGCTGGCTCATGGCTCACCTCAGGTGGTCAATCAGAGGTTCAGGCTGTGACTCAGCAGTTCCCATACAGGGAGAAATTAAAAAAAAATAATAAAAATCAGGTAAACTTTTAGAAAATGCTCCAAACAATGCACACTAACATTGAATGAGCTGGCAAATTTTAGGAACGCTAAGCAAGAAACTCTTTAAGTACTTGATGTTATGATCCCTTGCAAAAAAAAGAGATTTTCAAAGTAGCAAAACGTGTCTGGTACAACATCAGAAATACTTACAACTACTCCACTCTTGGTGATGGTTTCCCGGTATGTAAAATTGCACACTGCCCAAGCCAGGTAATATGTGGACATCAGAGGGGTTTGTGAAAAGTGATCTGTAACCCACCCGTCTTCTTCAAAAACAGATGTTTCAACTGGCATGTTGGACAAAGATATATAAGTTGCCTGATGCTTGATGCTGATTTTGAAAGTGGCCTTGTAGATGGGCTCATCAAAGCAAGGAAAGGCTTTTCTGGCATGAGTAGGAGAGAACTGTGTAACACCAAGAAACCTGGAAAAGAAGCAAACAAAAGACATCGCGGCAGTTACTGTCTGTGACCAGCACTCTATTAATGGGCATAGTAAATCAGACATTGCTTGACTATTGTGGTTTAACAACAACAAATGTAACAGTACAAGCATACAGCACTGAACACTGCTTTATCATTGTGGCCTTTCTTGATGTGAATTCTTACTACCTGTACTGTAACACAATCAATATAAAGTAATGGCCTATAAATTTTGTACAAATTTGCTGGCATCACGCCGAGGTTAAATAATCTCCTTCTATCAGACTTCCGGATCTCACAGAAGTTTTGTTCTGTATGTGAAAAAAAGTTTGCCAATATCGGTCAGAAACAAGCACGGCCTCAGTTAAAGCCAGGATTTAGTAGCCTTTGGGGAGCTCACTCTGCCCTGAGATACTGACAGCACACACTGCCTTTCGTTGGACATTAGAACTTACACCCACACAGTGTACTCAGGGGGGTTGTTGTTTTCCACTGCCGATTACTTCTCTGCAAGTGGACAGGTCTCAGACACGCTGTGCTAAAACACAGCAGTATTGCTATTGCATATAGTCACAAAAAAAATATATATATATTCAGGGATCTTTGCAAAATCACAAATACAACCAAATAATTACACAAGCATGGAGTAGTTTACCTTTTTTCAAAGGTGCCTTTCTTATGTGGTATATTTTATTGAGAACAAATACGTATCAGTTCACACGGCAAAATACTCAAAGATTTCTGAAGACACCAAGCCATTGTATAAAATGGGAAAGCTCAATAGTTTAATTTAATTATAATAACAATTATTATTAATAACAGCGATCATTTTCTTTGGAACTAAGCAGATGTTAATGCAGATACTGAAAAGGAAACTTTGCAAGTAGAGACTTTCTCCAAACTTACACCATTCTGACAAAACCCCACATATGATGATCACTATGCAGAAAGGAGCTGCATTTAAAAGGCTGAAGTGCAGTGTTCAATAGGAATATTCTCTGAAGCACAGAGGGCAAGAAAATGACTACAGCTAAACTACATAACCAAATATGAAGGCTTTTGGAGAAGTATTGAATCATGTCTCAATTTTTAAGATTTCATCAGTGGAAATCACCATGCAATTTTAGATAGCTGGTAAACATTTGCCACAATTTTAGAGGTCGAATAATCATCTGTTACTCCTCTGGAGGAAGAGAGCAGGTGGACACATTTGATAAAAATGAAAGTGGTGGCACTCATTATTCATCAGTCCACGAGCATTACTCTACAGTACAAATAATGGTATCATATTCTGTATTCAGTAATATCTGATGCTCTCAAACCCTGAGGGAGAAATATAAGTAAATAATCAGGAAACCTTTAAGGATAATTATTTTTTTCTAAAACTTCTTGGGTTTTAGAAATATTGCTAGCATTATTTTATAAAATTCATGAAGAAAAACTTCTTGAAATGTTGCATTTATCTCGCTATAGAGCATCCATGCTCGAGACAACCAGATATGGTTTTAAGTGAAACAACCACCTCTTTCATAAATCTATTCAAAGGAAAAAAAAAAAAAAAAAGGATTTTTTTTTCCCACCACTGAAGGTTTTACCATTGTATTTTTTTTTTTTTTTTGTCTAAAACAAAAGGCTTTATTAGGCAAATCATCATTGAAGGAATTCATCATACTGCATTTGTCTTGCTTCACTATAAAATACAGATTAGTTACATCATATTCCTGAATAAGGTTGTTCAATATAAGGTAAAAAGTTGATGGCAGGTATTCCAGTGTTAATCCAGGAAAATTCCATTATTGTCAGTGGATTTGCACTAGTGCAACAACGCCAAATCAGCCAATTAAATGAAGCAAAGCAACTTAATTTATATGCAAAGTATTTCGAGTGGTCCTGATTCTGCATTCTAGGCACACGCTAAAGAGCTATAGACACCAACAGCAGCTTCAAGTGAACTCGGAAACTTGTACCAGCCTGTTATTAATAAAGCCAGAATGATGAACTTTCAGCTGCAATTAACAGTTTTAATGAGCTCAGATTATACACATAAATGCATAAATAGCGAATACTGTTTTTATGCTGTTACCCTCTAAAAAAACGGGAGCATTTTCCCCACTTTTTCAGGGTCCTATCTGCAGTCTTGTTAGGTGTTAGGCCACTGAAACAATCTCTTCACCAGTGACCTCTGCATCCTCTGTATTCACACAGAGGAATAGATAACATCCACACAGACGTAACTGGGCAAACACTGGATGGTCAATATTCCATACTAAAAATACACCAGCTACCAGTAACAGTTTTGTTTGTAACACACACATTACTATCAAATACCAATTTGCTTATTGTGGCATAAAGTAAAACAAAAAGAAAGTTTAAAACTTCTTCCCGAAGACTAAACTGCTTGGAGTAAAATAGTCTGTGCTTCAAGGCCAGGCTGGATGTGGCTCTAGGCAGCCTCGTCTAGTGGCTGGCAACTCTGCACACAGCAGGGGGGTTGGAACTAGATGATCATTGTGGTCCTTTTCAACCCAGGCCATTCTCTGATTTTTATCTATTCCCTTAAGTGTTAGGAAGAACAACAAGCAAAACTTCTACCCCATACCAAAAATGAAGAGCAGGTTGAGTAATTCATCCTCTAGATCCTTCTCTGGGCACTGACATTTTTATCTCCGATTCCCAAGTATATCACCACAAAAGTTGTACTTCTGGGAATGACAGCCTTGCAGCCTGTCTGCTCAGCATCCCCACAGCAGTAATTTGCAGGTATTTTAATTCCACCTCATCTGTTAAAGGAAGACGTGTGTTTCCTCAACAAGCTATCTATTTTGACATCTTAGTAGTGATAAGATGGAAGAATATGTCTGTTTGTTTTGTCTGAATAATATAGGATTCTCTTCTCTTTTTCATTTATGCCCAAGGTGGATGTTCATTTAAATTATGTGTGCATATTACTATGGTACTCTACAGGAGCTGTGTATTAAATGTCTGTTGATTCAGTAATCAGCAAATTCTAGCACATAATGAAGAATAAGTTTGTGGCTTATCACTTGAATTTCAGCTTTCAATTAAAGTAGCACAGATTGCAGTAAGAAAATAAGTACTTCACGCTACTGTGAACACTTTAGGCTAATTTATGGCTTTCACCTATGAAGACCACAGTAAATGGACTAACTTTATGAACAAAAGAATTATGAAATGAAGGCGCTGTTACATTTGGAAAGCTTCACAGTTAACCCATTACTCACTCCTGACGTATCACAAAAGTGAAAAATGATGTTTTAGACCCTTTTACAACAACTACTCCTCCAGCAATGTCTCTGTATTTTAATCGAATATAAAGACGTCAGAAAGCTGAAATTCTGCTGGAAAATCAAGGTCCCTGGGAGCAGAAGAGAAGCCTTGCTGTCTGTCACAGCAGAAATCATCCACGTTTCAGGACGACAAACGGTTACATGAGTTACATTAAAATCAGGCCACTAATCAAAATGCAAATCACAAGAGGGCACTTCTAATGAAAAAGTTTCGTAGTTTAGAATGTGCATTACTTATTTTATATCTCAGGGAGTCTTTAACTTTTTGATAGTTCAAGGGGAAAAACAATGCTCATGGTAAACATCTGAAACCGTAACCCTGAACTGATGCAGATTTTAAAAAACAGCATTTTACCAAAATAAACACGTGAGCTGGTGCAAAGAAAAACCACCACCATTGATTTCAACACCACACTACCGTACAGTAAGGATCATGCTGAATATAACTATATTCGACTGCACTGAAAGCAAAATGCCTCATTTCTCAGAAGTGATACAGAAAGTTGTGGGAAGGGCATTTCACCACTGCCTTCCACTCCTGTGCCTTAAACTCTCCTGATGGCTATGAAAACAGACTTTTTTCTCTTTCTTTTTCAACCTCCAAATCATAACAGGAGCACTGGCATAGAACACAGAACAGTAACTTTGAAGAAACGTCACAGCAGAAGCAGCTACCAGGCAGCTCAACTATTTCCACAGGAAGCTTAGACAGGCAGGAGCAGTAACTGCTTAAACAACTTCTTGCTGCCTTTGTAAAGCGAATTATCCCCCCTGCTGTCTGCAGCCTTGTCTTACTGCGTGCCCATTTCTACACAGGTCTGCAGAAACGCCTGATTGCCCCACTCGCTCACTTCTCTGCGATAAAGGCGTTTTATCTGCATCCTTTCCTACAGCCGTGCATTTCCAAATTTTCATTTTATTTCAGTGGCAATGACAAACGGCTCAGGCAATTTCAATCCCACTTGCAATTCCAACATCAGACTGGTGAAAACTGCCAATAACCACATTGCGCAAGAGTACGCTCTAACGCAGGGGCTGTGGATTTGGACCGGCGAGCGTTCTTTTCCTGACTGACTTACTTTGTTTGGCTAATTTTCAGCCTCCCTCTCGGCCGCATCGACCGATAAAGGTTCACTTTGGGAGCGAAGAAACCCCTTCGGCCCCAAGTGCCACCACCACCTTGCCTCAGCCCTAGCCCCTCTCCCGTCCCGGCCGCAGAAACTCCGGCAGCTCCTCCCCTTCAAGCACCGGCCCTCGGCGCCTCCCCGACTCGCAGCGCCGCCCCGCGCCGCCCGAAGTTGTGCACGGGCCGCCGCCGAGGGGCGCGGATTGAGGCGTGCCGCCCGCCGGGCTCCTCCCGCCGTACCTGCGCTCGCCGTGCAGGACGTAGGAGCTGCGGAAGAAGCCCAGCAGCTCGTTCTCGATGAGCGCGTTGTAGATGATCTTGAGGTTGTAACTCCGCTGCACTTCCAAGCTGCGGTTGAGGACGACGACCAGGACCTGGGTCTGGGGGTAGAGGAAGGACCGTGCCACCCGCACGGCGCCCGCCAGCTTGTCCTCGGCCACGCGCACCGCCTCGATGTGCATGCGGTGGGCGTGCAGCACGATGTAGCGGCTGGCGTTGCGCACCTCCAGCTGCACGTTCACCTCCCCGCAGAAGGTGAAGTTCTCCATGAAGGCGCTCAGCATCAGGTTGTAGTGCAGCGGTCTCAGGTGCCGCGGCAGCCGTGGCCGGGCCCAGGGCGGCAGCTCCCGCCGCCGCTGCCACTCCTCCTCCTCCTCCTCCTCCTGCTGTTGCTGCTGCTCCGCCGCCTCCTCCCCGCCCCGCGTCTCCTCCCGCGGCTCGGCCCGGCCGCGGGGCTGCCCAGCCGCGAGTCCCGGCAGGCTCCCGTTGTTGGCGGCCCGCGGGGGTCCGTCGGCGGCGGCGCCGCACTCCTCGAAGCGGACGCTGAGCAGCACGGCCACCATGGTCACGGCCAGCAGCGCCAGGATGGAGACGGCGAAGCCCAGCACCAGGCGCTTGTGCACGGCGATGTGCCGCTCCGTCGTGCGGGGTCGCGGCCCCGCCGCCTCGGCCCAGGGCCCCGGCGGCAGTCCACGGCTGCCGTTGCGCAGGGCTGCCTCCTCCTCGATCATCATGGGGGTGACGGGTGGTCGCTTCTCCCGCTTCTCCTCCAGGGCCATTACGGCAGCGCCGCCTCCGCCTCCCGCGGGGCCGCCGCCCCCCGAGGGGGCCCCGAAGACATGGGAGGCAGCGAGCCGGGGGAGCCCGGGCGGCGCCGCTCACATCGCCCTCAGCCCCGGCCGGGGTGACGGGACGGGCTCGGGGGTGCGGCTGCGGGCTCTCCGCGCCGTCCGGCCGCTCCGTCAACTTGTGCGGCTGCTGCGGGGCACTTCAGCACATGCCGGGCAGCTCCCCCTAGCGCCGCCGTTCGCACGGAGCTCTCCTTCCCGCGCAGCCCGAGCCGCCGGGGCCGGGGTCGGGCTCCGCGCCCGGCCCCGGCAGCGCCTGAGCCATGCGCGCCCCGCGCCGCCGCGCAGGGAGGGCGGTGGGGGATGGAAGGGAGATCGGGAGGGCCGCCCCCGCGGGGCTCGGCCGGCACCGGGGGCGGCGGCACCGGACGGCGGCGCCCCCGCCTCCTCTTCCTCCCTCCGGCCCTGGAGAGTCGCTCCTCGCCGCTCCGCTCTTATTTTGTCTTTTCTGTCTCTTGCAGGTACAGAGCGCTCTCCCGGCTGGCTCGGGCAGAGGCAGCTATATATAGGCACCGGGGAGAGGCTGAGGGAAGGGAAGGGATGGGAAGGGGGAGAGGCGGGCAAGCCCCGCCGCCCCTCGGCTCAGCGGCTGCTCCGGCTGCCGGCGGTGACGGCGGCGCCCCGGGGGAGCGGGCGGGGGCGGGAGGAGGGGGCGGCGCGGGGACGGGGGAGGCGTCCCGCCGGGTGACACGGCGGCTCCGGGGGGGCTGCGGGCGGGGGGAGCCCCGGCCGAGGCGGGAGGAGGACGATGCGCTGGGCGACCACAGCCTCCCCCTTCCCCGAGCCTTGGGGTTCCCCGCGATCGTGCGCTTGAGAGCGCGCTCGCCCCGTAAATATTGAACGCGGTGCTGGGTCGTATTTATATAGACTTAATAAAGAGCCGCCTAACGCACGTTTGGACGACAATAGCGCTGTCATCCGAACGCGGGGATGGAGCCGAGATAAAGGATAAATATCCTACTTATATCGAAGGGATTAATATGCCGAGAAGAATCAGCCCTTAAGAGCTGGCTGGCGCTTCCCGAGAGCCTCATGTCGCCGATCCGCGGCCCCAGGACGGCTCCCACCCTCCCCCCCCGGCCCTGCACACCCGCGACCCGCGCCGCATCCCCGCTCACAGCTGCAGCATTCGGGGATTATGTCAGCGCGGCCAGGGGTGAGCACCGCCACGCGGCTTAACCCCGGCCGGGAGCATGGAGAGCCTCGGTCTGAGCCCGCTTCTCCCACGTTCTCCCCCACCCCCAAACTTTTGCGGATAGGGATTGTGAAAATGCAGAATTAATCTGGAAAGCGGAGATCCAGATCGATGTATGAAAGCATCGCTCCTGTTCTCCTTACTTTGCTCACATGCTTCAAAAACTATCTCCATGCCTTTTTTTTTTTTTTTTTTTTTTTTTTTTCTTTATCTCTTTATCTCCGATCTCATGAGCAGTTGCCTGTTTATCTACAGCATTCAGTCCTGTGGAATACACTATGTACTTCCGTACGTTAGTTTGACGAATAAGGGCCTTACTTTCCATGGGGAAAATGCAATAACAAAGTCCTACACTTCTTTTGTAAGTGTAGCAAATCAGCACGGTTTGATGAAATGGGATGTATTCATTTTCCCTTCTGAAGGGATGCCTGATCTCTGCCTGCCACAAATCTCCTGCATCCTTTAGAAATGCTATCTGACTTTGTACGCAGTTGCAGAATATGAATAATCACTCACGGACCTTCAAACCGGTATAAAACAGGACAGAACATAGGACGCTCTCCCCAGAAGGATCTTAGTCTTTGTTTCATCCTGCAGCTCAGTCTAACAAAGGCTGATGGTTTCAAGTAGCCTTAATGGTAAGTGCTCTGATGCTTTTGCTAATGGTGTTTGCATGTCCAAAGAGGGCCAACAGTGCCCCTTAAATTGCACCTGCCACAGTTACTGTGCTGTTATTTAGCTGCCCACCTGTTACAACAGGCCGATGAACAGAAATATGTTATTATCTGTAGATAGCCTTTGTGATTCGTTGACTGAAGTTTGAGGCAGAAAGGCAGGAAACTATTGTTATGTGATTTGGAGAAGGAAAAAGAAAGAAAGAAACAAACTGACATCCAAAGCTACGGGTTTTCAAATATCGCTTTCTGTATGTTTCATTAAACTCTTTAAAAGTGGGCACAAAAGAAGTGCCTGAGATTTTGTATGCAGCTGTCAGCATCAGGCACGAGCAGAGAAGGCAGTGTTTCCCTCTATCGCTTTCTGCAATGGGTTTTAAGTTGTGTTTGTTCCCATCAGGGAGACAGTCAGTCAAAGATGTGCTTCAAGAATAGGAGCGGACTAGAATGAAACGGAACAGTGTGAGTGTCACTTATAAATATTTTTAATCATATTTTTTAATTAAATACAAGTGAAGAGTTACAAATCTCACAGAGGAAGGGTTTTGTGAAGCTGTCTCAGCGAATTGCTGAGCTGTGTGCCTGGCAATGGGGCTGTGCTTGTTTGCCAGCTCTGCCGATGTAAGGAGGGATCCACGCTGCCTGTGGCAGCATGGGAGCATCACTCTGGCCTTCTTGCTGTACAGATAACAAGCACAGAACTCTCTGGGCTGAGATCTTCCAGCACCAGCTGAGGGATTCAGTCACACAGCTCTGCTTTGACAAGAGCTGTCTATAAACTGAAGAGCTGGTGTCAGAGAGACTGTAAAAGATTTAAGGTGCATGGTAGTAAGAAACCACAAGGCTAATTCCTTTTAAGCCTAGTTAAAATAGCACTCGCAAAATACTGAAGCAAGGCATGGGTGAGCAGAGTTAAGGCTGCTTATATTCACCTCCAACTTTGGTCCCATTACTCAAAGAGAGTGGCGAGAGGTTCACAGCCCCGTGGGATCCTTGTCAGTCCGGAGACTTATGCTGAGAAGGTGCCACACGGTGCTGTGCTAAATAGCTCCAGTGCTTCGACTCATCTATCACTCTAAAACTGCACATTACCAGATTAACCTCTCCTTCATATTAGTAATGACGGGTTTCTAAAATTCAGCTTGATGAGATACAGGTCAAGGGAGGTATTAACTTACTAATTTGTTCTCAAATGCTGCTCTCTGCAAGCAGTTCCATGTACAGGTTGTTATGTATAGCCATCCTGATGAGACATTACAGAAGATGACAAAAGCATTGAGCCCTTGCAAAACAGTTTGTGCACATTTGGGAAGGATTCTTGTTTTTTCATTTCTGCACAGTTGTAAGTGCACGCATGGATTTCCAGGGTAGTGCTCTGAAGCTTGCAGTTCCTTTGGTCTTTCTGAGAAAAGTGTTGGAAAACACAGCAGATCATGGATCATTTTTGCAGCAAAATCGTGGTAATGACTCCCAGTTGTTCAGAACTTCCCCTAGGCCATCAACATCTTGTATGCAATCACATTTTATGAGCTTATAGAAGAGGGTTTCAGGTACTCGTACAAAATAAAAGAGCATGTCTTACTTTAACCAAATTGCTGTGGAGATGGCCCTCCCTAAATAATTATCAGGAGAAACATGGATAAACTTCACACAGTGCAGTTTCCAATTCTGTACCGGCTTATACCATGGCCAGCAAAGATCTGATGAGGGTTCCCAATAAAGATGTGTTTTATGTTATGTTAAGATCACACATAAACACCAGTCGGTATTCACAATGCTACTTTACAGTCTGGGCAGAAAAGCCCTATAAACGAGAACCATACTGTATATCATGCAGCTGGGTACAGTTTTTCCAAAGAGAGAGGCAGCACGTTACAGCTTTCAGAGGCTGCGTAACTTTTTCTGGTTTTTTTTACCTGGTTGATCCATCCTTCATTCATCCGGGCACATCAGAGCTTTACTGACAGATTTTATCTTACTGATCCCCCTTTAAAAAAAAAAATATATATATATGGTCTCAGAAAATGTCATGCTGTGCAAAGTCCAGAAAAAACTGCCCTCTGGAATGTATAGAGGGAAGCATTTCAGGGGAAAAAGGCTGAGTCAGCCCACATCAGTCAGTGTAGTCAGTGTTCCACTGACCCTTTCAGCTTCAGTCAGGCATTTCTGTGGTCATAGCTGGGTTCTCCTTGCATACTTCAAAGTTGAGGCTATCCACAGCTCTTCCTCCCTTCTGTCTAAGTGCCAAAGCAGACTGCTAACATGTTGGTCAAAAAGACATCAATAAGGTGATTTCCTGAAATACTGTGGACTACTTACTCACTTCCCACAGACCCAGATTCCAGGCGGTAGTGATTTCTTACTGTATTTGGGACTGAATGGTAGTTAGGAGATGGCTGTTTCCAAGCACAACAGGCTGTCTACAATCTGCTGGCTTTGCAAGTTACTCACTCTTCCCAAAAGAAGCACCACTGCCAAACAAGTGGACCAAAAGGAGCAAACTGGGACAGTGCTCCTTCCTTCCTGGATCCTTTATGTTTTTCCAGAAGACATTTTCAGCAAGTTGGCTTCTTTAATGTATTGTATTGCCCTGTGAATATACTTCTGTTTGTTTAAAAATTGCCACTAAGAAAAATGCTAAGAGAAAAACGTTCTAATTAAAAGCCTAAAGAGCCAAAATTCTGGGTTGTAAAACAAGCTGACACATGGTTTGTTCTGGCTTAAAAGCACAAAGAAATCAAGCTTTTTCTTCTATTGTTCTCCTCTGCTCCTTCACAGCTGTACCCTAGCCTTCCCCACACCACCTGTTTAAATAGCCTTGCTTACTTGAATCCAGTGGCATTAAGCAGAATTTATCTTTAGTTTATAATTAGAGATGGCCAGATGACTAGTTACAACTTCAGCTTGGGAACATTTTATTTTCCCCTTTCTAAAGGAACAGACAGAAAAGGAAAAAGCATGGAATTGCACTATGCTGTGGCTAAAGCCCTGTATCGCGAGAAACTGGGAGTTTGCCACAAGGCAAACAAGGCATCCCTGAATCCCTCTCCTCCTCTCTCCTTTTCCTGTCATCAGCTCTTGCACTTCAGTTGCCCCCTGAGTGAGAAGGAACAGCTGAGGAGGCACTGATGAAGCGTTGCCCACGTACCAGCACCACACAC